CACCCCATTCATCTCCTCCCCCAAAATCCTGTGAGAGGGGCAAGAAGGTGATTGAAGACCTGTTGTAATCTAGTCTTCCTAAAAATTGTAACAGAGGGCATTACCCACCTCTAAAATGCTGTTTCGAAGGGTGTCTTTCCAAAATGCTCATCTCCTACTGAGAGATCAGTTCTCATGTGCTATTTATAGGGACCTATTGGAGTCAAGAAGGCAGGCAGCTGACTTTGTGGGCCGACCATGGGGTTGGCCACCATTTTTGCAGGCTTATCATGGCAGGGCCCCACCCTTGCCACTGACTGGCCAATAGGGCTGTTCATTATGTGACCCCACTCCTCGCCACTGATTGGCCAAAAGGGCTATCTGTTGTGTGGCCCTGTTTCTTGCTGGCTCCTCACTGATTGGCTGAGAGGGCCAATCAGCCCTCTCAGCCAATCAGTGGTGAGGGGATGGCTGCCATCTTGGCTGTTGCCCTTGATGCTGGCAGCTACCTTCCCTGGCAGACCAGGCTGGGCTGCAGTGGCCATGAGGACTGCTGGCTCCTACTGGGGAGCCAGCATTTTCTTCTTAGTAAGTCTTTTTTATTATTATTTCACAGACCATGCCTGATTTCACAGAAAATGCGGTTTCTGCAAAATCCACAAAACCACAAATTGAGCAGATCCCTATTTAACAGAGATGGCACATGCTAAGGGGAGATTTTCAAAGGCATAAAGGACAATGAAAATCAATAGCATTTGGGCATCTGACTCCTATGTTTGCATGTGAAAATCTTTTCTATCCCAATATCTTTATTTATATTCCTACTTTTTAAACACAAATTGAAGCTATTATTGTTCTTATCATACATTCTGGCTTTTGCACTTGTCTATGCTACCATAATTCACTGTACTAGAAACTGTTTTGTCTTCTGAGCATGTATGTAGAACACTTTGGAGTATTGATCCAAACAGTCTGTTTGCATGATCTGTGTGCAAAATCTTGTTTGAATTAGTCTAAGTAGCAGTTCAATTTGCACTCAACAAGGAGAAATACAAAGTGCTGCACCTAGGGAGGAAAAATGTCCAGCACACCTACTGCCTAGGAAATGACCTGCTTGGTGGAACGGAAGCGGAAAGGGATCTTGGAGTCCTAGTGGACTCCAAGATGAACATGAGTCGTCAGTGTGACGAAGCCATCAGAAAAGCTAATGGCACTTTATCATGCATCAGCAGACGCATGACAAACAGGAGGTGATATCACCAAGGAGGTGATACTTCCCCTCTATCAGGCGCTGGTCAGACTGCGGTTGGAATACTGCGTTCAATTTTGGGCGCCACACTTCAAGAGAGATGTGGATAACCTGGAGAGGGTCCAGAAAAGGGCCACTCGTATGGTTAAGGGCTTGCAGGCCAAGCCCTATGAGGAGAGACTGGGGCACCTGGACCTCTTCAGCCTCCACAAGAGAAGGTTGAGAGGCGACCTTGTGGCTGCCTATAAGTTCATCACGGGGGCACAGAAGGGAATTGGTGAGGGTTTATTCACCAAGGCGCCCCCGGGGGTTACAAGAAATAATGGCCACAAGCTAGCAGAGAGCAGATTTAGACTGGACATTAGGAAGAACTTCTTCACAGTTCGAGTGGCCAAGGTCTGGAATGGGTTCCCAAGGGAGGTGGTGCTCTCCCCTACCCTGGGGGTCTTCAAGAGGAGGTTAGATAAGCATCCAGCTGGGGTCATCTAGACCCAGCCCTCTTTCCTGCCTATGCAAGGGGTCGGACTCGATGATCTATTGAGGTCCCTTCCGACCCTAGAATCTATGGATCTATAAGTAGCAGTTCAATTTGCACTGTTAGCTGCAAGTGAAGGGATGGTTCAAGTGGTTCTCCCACTGCAGCCCAGCATTTCAATTCTCTCAAAATCCATTGCTTTTGGAGGATGTTCTTGAAATTGTTGGGCAGGTATCTAAAAAGCTGTGTAACTGAAGAATACTAGTGAGGATATGGAGCTGAGCTGTTGTGGTCCAGAACAGGAATCAGCACAGCTAAAGTGGACATACTGTGCCATTTGTGCTTAAATTGGGTGTTTCATCAGCTCAGTTGATAATGTGATGATACACATATTAGCTTCCAGTGAAGTCACCAGTGTAAGCAGTATGATGTGGCAATAACTCTTTCTAAACTGTAAAGGAATTAGAACAGAAAAATAAATTGTAAAATTAGGGAATCACAAATTCAACTTGACAAGAAATTTCCTTTTGAGGGAATCTATCTAAGCCTGGGGAGGAATTAAATGCTTCTCTAAGAACTGTAACTCAAAGCTGCATTGCAGAGGCAATTCCTCTGGGAAACAGATGCCCTTACACACATACTCTCACTCCCCAAACAGGATTCATGACCAAGAGGACAGAGTTCTATTCCTGGAGCTGCCATTGACCTGCTGTGTAACCAGTGACAAGCCACTTTGCCTTTCTGTTTTCCCTCCTAACCTTTCTGGTCTATTTAGACTGTAAGCTTTTCAGGGCAGAGACCATCTCTTGTTATGAGCTTGTATACTTTTGTAGCACAACGGAGCCCTAAGCTTGCCTTGGGACCTTTATGTGCTACTGGAATACAAATAATAAATAATAATAATAGGGATTTGTGTTTACTGTGATCATGCCAGTTATGACCTGTACACTTCCTGGACCTGCAGCCCTGTGCTCCTGCAAAGCTGATGGTTCTTAAGGACTACAGAGCTCCAATAAGAGACGCCACACTCCCTATCCCTCAGCACATCCATAGAGATGATTTTACTCCTTCCTTCTGAGTGGGGCTGGTCAAAATGTTGAGGGGAGCTCTGTTTTGCTGTTGCTTTTCTTTTTACAACCACCTTACGGAACTGTAGCACAGAGTAGTGAGGCAGCTCATTTGAGAACCCCATGCCCTTGTACACAAACCGGCACTCCACAAACAGGTTGGGTTTTTTTTTTTAAGTTGACATTTTGCCAATACAATTTTTGAGGACGAACCAAAAAAAATGGGCAGAACTGTTCCTGATTTTGCACTCTGCTCCTTCTGGTGTTGTGCTGACAACATCTGATGAAATGTGCTTGAAAGCGTGTATAATATATATATATATATATATATATACATATATACACACACACACACACACACCTCATATATATCATATATATGATGTGTATATATATAATCATACATGCTTTCAAGCTCACTTGATGAAGATAGATAGATAGATAGATAATACAAGCTTTCAAGCTCTTTCATCTGATGTTGTCAGCAGAAGACCAAAACAAGCAAAGCTCAAAATTAGGAACAGTTCTGCCCATTTTATTTTGTTCATCCTCAAAAACTGTATTGTCAAAATGTCAACTTAAAACAAACAAAACTGTTTGTGGAGTGACAGTTTGTGTTCAAGGGCATGGGGTCTCACACACACACACACACACACACACAGTTTGTGTACAAGGGCATGGGGTCACACACACACTTAAGGGGGCTGATCGGGAGGGAGGAGATGCAGTTGCACCCCTCCCCATTCCCCTTTGATTCCTGCCCCACCCAAAGTTTAAAACCAGCTGCCTTGGAGGGGTGGCAGTATTTCTATTCAGGCAGTGCTGAGAGAGTCAATTGACTTTGTGGCTCATTATCATATCTCTGATTTTTTTTCTATACTCTTCATTCCATCCACTAATCAAGTTATCTTTTCTTCTTCAGTTCTGCTGTCCACTGCTGCTTTTGGTAATGTAGCTCCTATCTCACAGCCCTGCAGGCTGTTTTTAACTCTAGCTAAAAAAATTAACTCAGGTGTGGAAAAAGCTTTCAGTGAGGCTTTGGAAGCACTGTCAAGACGCTCAAGAAGGCTTAGTTTTTGTTTTATGGAGAAAGAGATGTACCTTTAATTTTAGTGACTCCAGGACTAATGAAACCACATCTTTGATTATTTTTGCCTACTTTTGTTATACGTAATATACGATGTAGCAAATTAATGCATGTTCCAATACAGTTTTTTCTTTTGCTTCTTTCTTGAATGGAATAACATAGGCCCAGGGCCCCTAACATAATAGTAATGCATCTAATTCCATTTTACCTGGAGAAAAATGTGCAGTATGTTCTATGTGGTGATGCACCACACCGTCTGCACCCCCCTTTTCAAAATGCTAGATCCACTCGTGTCTACTTTGATTAGTCTGTAGGGTGCAAATCTACTCTGCCTTCTGGTTGTGTTATGGCCTGGGAGAGGCTCTGTAGGACTGAGGCTGCCACAGGATCACAGTCTCTTCCTGGGGTGCATCTGGGGGAGGATGCACTGGTGCACTTGCACCCTGCTTTGATTCTTGCTCCACCCAAAGTTTAAAACTAATTGCCTGGCAGTAGCAGCAGCTTTTCTAGTCAGGCTATTCTGAGGGAGTCACTTGGGTGCGTCCCAACGAGTGCACATGTGCAGAGGCATGTGTTTCCCACGGGACAAATAGCAGTGGCACATACAGCAGCAGCAAATATTTGTGCCAGTGCTATTTGTCCCCAGGCATGCCCCTGCACGTGTGCTCTGCCGTGTGGCAAATTGACTCAGGCAAGTTAGGGAAGGCTGGGGCTAGCACCTGTGCTGGCCCCAACAACCTTGTCCGGGGTACTGGGAGCCTCCCAGGGCGGTAGTGGCACTGAGCCGACCTCTCAGAGCCTGGCTGGCATCCAGAGTATAGCTCTGGACAGCCAGGATCTGTTTCTGGTGGCGTATGCTGCTGCTGCATGCACCATGCGCCTTTTTTTTAATCAGCTTTTTTCTTTTTTTTATATTGGGATCTCCCGGTGTCAAAAAAACCTGTCATGCTGCAAATTACTGCAGCGAATGGGTGCACATGTGGTTTGCAGCACCTCAGATAGGTTTGAGGCACCGCAAACTGCATGTGTGCACTTGTCAGAACGCACCCACTTGAATTCATTAGTCAATAAAGACTTTTTGGGCCAATATCAATGGCCGATTATTAACCAGCAATATCAGCCTATACTGATTTGATTGCTGATATGCACCTTGGAGAGCAGTGTCCAGTTGGTAAGTCACTTGGGAAGAAGGGGTGTGGGGGGAAGGCACCATCGAGGCCCCTGTGGTAAGGGAGGGAGTGGGGCTGGGGCAGGCGCTGCCTAGCTGGGGCAGGGCAGGAAGTGGGACAGAGCCTGGTTGGCTCGTGCAGAGGGCGGCTTCCACTGCTGCGCGCAGCTCCAAGAGAGGCACGGGGCGCATGTGCCCCCCTGGATCTGTGCATGGCGCAAGGGCAGGCTGCCTGCCGCACACTTGTGGCCAGGGCTGCTCCAGCCTCTTCCTGGCAGCTGCACTCAGGTCAGGTGGGGGGGGCAGGGTGGCCAGTGGTGGCGCTGGGAGGAGGACCTATGGCAAATTTTGAGGTGGCTTTAGCCCCCCCGCAGTTTCCCTCCCAGTACCACTGCCACCACCTGCCCCAAGCGCAGCCTCCAGGAAGAAGCTGGAACAGCTCCGGCCCTGAGCACACAGCAGGCAGCTTACTCTCACCATGTGCACAGATCCAGGGGGCATATGCCCTCCCCCCATGCCTCCCCTGGGGGTGTATGTAGAGGCAGGAGCTGCTCCTCCCTGCCCCCCTGCGGCCTCTGGATGGGCCACCAGCTCCACTCTGTGCCCTGCTCTGACCCAACTGGGTCGTGCCTGCCCCAGCCCCATTCTCTCCCTTACCGTG